TATATATATATATATATATATTAAAATGTATAAAGGGTTTTTTTTTATTTTTTTATCCAAGCTCACAAACGTGCAATAAAAAAAAAAAAAGTTGCTGCTTTTTTGTAAAAACACCTTGTGTTTAATCAATACATCTATTAGTTTATTAGTTGTTTTTTTCTGGTGCGAGGGTAGGTACACGCATGGTACCTCCAACACATTTAGCAAGACCTTACATGCATGTTTTTGTTGGGGATTTTCTCTTACTGTGGGAAAGAAATAACATAGTGAAAGTAAAAACAAGATTCTGACAGATCAGCAGGTTTGGACCTTGACGACCACTGTTATGTATCAGCGGATTACTTCCCTAGTTTATCGTGTAGTAGATTTCTTAATAGAGGTAAAATATACAACATAATTTAAATATTACTTCTTTGTCATCTGGCCTGATCAACTGTACAGTTTTAATGATATCAGACTAATAAATAAACAATTTATTCATTTCGGTCAAAAAATCTAATCAAATTAAATGTATGCCAATACTGCTACAATTCTTTTGTGCAAGTTTGCTTAAGGATAGAACAGTAGTAACTTTAGCGATATTTTAAAGGATAACATTTAAGCATTTATATGCACAGAGATATATCACTAACCTTGATTCATATCTGTATCAAAGTTAACATAACTGGGAAACATAAGCTTTAGTTATTTGAACCTAATGAAGGTATATTCCAATTGCAGGTATCAAGATAAACAGGTTTTTAGACTAGACAGGCCTGGAGCAGGCGAACACTACAGAAACTGTTGAGCATAAAAATGAATCCCGATTACACTTATGCAATGATAGTTATTGGTGTGGTTGTACCACCACAGAGCTAAAGAAGTTAGAAGAAAGAGAGAAAACAAACTATGTAGTAGTTAGGAGGGGGAAACAAATATGAATTTACCCGAAATCATGTAAAACGTGTTGGTATAATTCACAATAATCAGTAAAGCTTCTGAAACAATCACACCTATGAAGTCCTCCATCATTAGTAGGTGAGGAGGCATGTAAAGTAAGGGCGAAGTCCTACGGTGGCCTGCATGTGCAAACTAGTCTATGGCTTGTCTTGCGAACGGTTTTCACATCTAGCAACCACAGGGGGCGGCTTCAAACATTCCTATTTTAAGAGCAGGTTTCCAATCTATTTAGTTTCACCGCTGTGTTTGGATGGGACTCTCTATCCGAACAAAAAGTTGATCAGATATATCCGAAGCCAGCTGTGTGTGGATAAGGTCTAACATAGCTTTACCCTTATCCCACCTGTTGCTGCAGAACACTGGTTAGCTCACTGAACAAATAAGCAATAGCAGTTTTCCAATAGAAAAAAAGATTAATTCAGCAAACTATGAGTATTTTCACACAATAGTGATATAGAAACCAGACAAATTATAACCTTTATTTTTTTTTATTAATGTAAAGCTGTTTTAAATCCATTAATTTGTATTGCTAAGAGTGCAGGCTAGCTACCAGAGTGGACAGCTTTAATTCTTTGTTTGGGTTCACAGTTGACGTGTGAAGAAAGACTAACATTTCATCTACAAGGTTTCTAAGTTTTTAATCATCTTTTTTTATCAAAAATGTTATCTTCTTAAAAGAAAACAAATATCAGGGATGTGTGTTTTCACAAAGGGTTTAATTTGGGTTTTTACAGAGTGTCTCTTGCAGTCATTGAAATACTGCTTTTATACATGCAGTTGACCTGAAACCTTTTTCAAAGTGGTCAAAAAGGAACTGATGAAGTTGCTATATCATTGTTTACCAGAAGGTAAATAGTTTGATGCAACATTAAACCAGACATAATCAGTTACGTTTCAGACATATTGGGTAAGAAATTATCATCATGGCAGGCCAACATACATGATGCAATGTAACTGTGACAGGCTTACACTAGAAGTTAAGCTAGATAGGAACTTTTATGGTTAACTTGAGAAACACATTCCTTCTTGCTCATGCTTCTCTTATGTTACCTCTCTATAATCAGTGAAGATCTTTTTTTATTCATGTCAAAAGTACAATTAACTCATTGTAGATCTCCATGTTGCTAAGTGATGAGCACTGACCCAAAAAAATTGAACAAACATAATGGTCTTAAGCTGCCGTTTGAGCAGACTTCACACTCACATGCAGCAGTCTGGTCCCTTCTGTCTGGCAAAGTGCATATTAAATGGAGCCTCGTCTAAACAGACAAACAGCATCTAAACAGCAAAGGAGTAAACTGCTTTACTACGGTCCAGACAGAGGCAACCAGTAAGAAACCAATGATGCCAGAGGCATGGGTAGGGAGAAAGGGCTCTCTCTCATATCAGCGTGTGTGCGAAGACACACACACACACACACACACACACACACACACACATTGAACAAGTCAAACCACAGCTGGGAAACATTAACTAAATCAGGGGAGTCAGAACCACCAGCGAGCACCGGGCAACAGCACGTGTAGACCAACAGAAGACATGCAGAGCAACACATGGGAGCTCTGTCTACTCTGTTATATCACGCATGTTTTCCTTGTGCCTCCTGGAATACACACACCGTCCCTTCTGGATGTGCACAAGGACAATTGTGCATATTTCTGTGTTACAATTATTCTGGAACTAAAACATGTTCTCATTCCTGCTTGGTATAGAGCCACAGTGGGCCCAAGCTTTTTTTTCCCCTCATATGCACAGTCTTTGATAACTTCTTGGGTTGTTAACCAGCAGTGCCTTCCAGAAGTATTCACTATTCATACCTTCTCTCTCTCTCTCTCTTAGAGATTGTGTAACAGGCTGTCACCAAAAAAAGCATAAAACCTGAAAATGATTTTCATTGGGTCTGAATTAGGTGGACCTGGTGTGATGGCCAGGCCTTTAAGATTGGTTGGAATGCACCAGAAAACTGTGCAGACGGGTCAGGAAAACTGTGGCGAAGAACTTTAAAGCAGGGTTAGGGTGTTAAACTAAACTTTTCAAGCCATCATCATCAAAATGTAGCCTGCATTGCAAGCAGGGTTGGGCATTGAGAATCAATCACAGGTTCTATCCTTTTAATTCACCCTGAATCGTTCAAATTCTTTATTTTTGATTCCTATTTTCGATGCTGAGTCATGGCTAACATGACAAAACACCCCCAAACTCAAAATGAGAGCCTCGTATTTGACCCCCTGTGTGTGTTGCGCTATGGTAGGTGCCCTATGGTAATTTTTTCCTCCTCTTAATTTTTAGCTTATTCTGCAGGGAGAGCGAAGACATTTTTCCAACGTCTACCTGAGTGGAACTGAGGTGCAGTAAACAATACTGGAGGATACACATTCTGACACCGAACACTCAGCCTAGAATCTGACTAAACCCAGAATAGGGTCAATAAAATTATAAAATTTACCGTGTAAATACCTGCACCAATAGAAACTGGAGATATGCAAATGAGATTTTTAACAATAAAGCTCCATGTGAATTTATAAGTCTTTGAAGATGAATTACATTTATATTAGAGTTCATAGGTTTGATATCAATACAATGTTTAAAAATAACTGTGTCTGATAATTTATAGTAATATTACACAAAGATGTCAAAGGAATTACATTGATTTGAAAAGTACAGATCATTTCATTCAGCCATAACTCTGGCTAGCAAGCTCAATTATAACATGGAAACTATCATAATTCTTTTTCTTCACAGAATCTCAATAGAGAATCAATAAGAACTAGAATCAAAACAACAAATTGGAATTGTTGGAATTAAAATGATCCACCAAACCTGATGGCAAGACAACAAACAAACAAGACGCTGCCCCTCATCTAAACCTATGCTCAGGAAAGAGCACACATCAGATAACCAGCTATGGTATCCATTGGCACCTCTATAGGAGTTGCACAGATCCACAGCTTAGAGGGAAGAGTTGTTTGACAAGATGACTCCTCTATGTTTACTCCTCCACCTCTAACCCTCTACGGTTAAGCTTTCCAAAAGTCATCCAAGGAACACCGCAAGATGTTGAAAAAGGGTGTGGGCCTGGTGAGTTCTGAATTTTTCATTAATTGGCCCATATGCAAAAGAATGAAATACAGGGATAAGTGGGTTGACAAAATATTAACTATGGTGAGTGGCTGCCAAATTGCAAGACGCATTATTTTCCTTCAAATTGAGAAATAGGAATCACTTTGTGTTGGTCTATCATGTGAAATCTAGATTAAATACATGAAACTTTGCTTTTTTAATGTGGCTAAATGTGAAATGAAACAGTTAGTATTTAGGGTTTCCACATTATGCCTTACCCATGAAGGAGCCTGTGCTGCAGATAAGGCTGAAGAAGCAGCTCTCAGGTGGCAGAGTCCCACATTTACTAAAAGAAAAAGCACAGAAAATATTTCAGAGAATCACTGTGTGCACATTCTGCAGTACAACATCACCCTTTCAAACCTTCTGCGAAATAAAATCTGCGTTTATGCTTGTTGAACACAGACAGGCTGGAAGCTTGATCCCTCACATCCCGTCATGAGTTGACTTTTCACCCACTGCATACCTCGCCTTATTCTAGGAACGGGAAACGTGTGCATGATCCAGAAGCCAGGAGACACTCGGCACTAGTCTGTTTACTGTTAGTTCCTGCTGCATAAAGCCTCTCACATATGAACCCTTCATGAACTCTGATGTGGAGATTTCTTTACATTTTACGATAAACAGTTTGATGAGATCATACTGTATACTTTCAGAGATTAAAGTTTTTTTTTTTTTTTTTTTTGAAAACCACAGTATTAATGTTTAAGCAGACCTTTGAAGTTAGAGGCTCCAAATGGCTAATAGTTAAACAGGAACAGGAGTGTCTTGATTTCCTCCCAAATTAAAGGAGGTTTTGCATGCCAGTGTGTTTACATGGTTTAAGTGTTGCTCTAAACTGCCACGGCAACAGGCAGGATGTCAGCCACAAGTTATTTTCAGAACGCACACGGGACAACGGTCTCACTCTTTTTTCCTTTTTTTTTTTATAAACAGTATGCAGACATGAGCAGAGTAAGACAATGGGACGGTGTTCTTGTTAGTAATAGCTGAATAAAAAGAGACCTGGGAGCTGCAGGGGTACCGCAGCGCAAGTTTCCTTTACCTGATGAGAGGAACATTGTCTAACGTGCAGCAAAACGATGGACCGCTCTGCAAATGCAGCTCCTCCGCACATGATTGGTTGTACAACCTGCAACAGAAAACATTCAACACATATTACTGTTAATTCTAATGGAATTACATTTACACCAATAATGGAACATTGAAAATATTTAATCCATTTAACAATTACAACAGGGCCCGATATAGATTTATCTCAGACTGGAGCGGGACCAAGTTGGCCCCAGTTCACAGCAGGTTTCCACTTGAGTTGACTACATTGAAGCCACTGCAAAAGCAGTTAGGGCGCCCTAACTAGATCTTAGCAGCATCTCATAGGTTTTAAGAAAGACAGATAGGATTGACCTTAAGAAAACAAATCAAATGGGGCAAAATGTTCAGTCCAATTCCTACACAGTGACAGCAGTATGAAATAAAGGCTGACGGATGTGAAAATAAAGGAATCAAAATAGCAAAATATTGGAGCCTACATGTCTGGGGGAAAAAAACATCAGAAAGATCTGGAAAGAACTAAACTTAACCCATAAATGCAATGAAAAATGCTAAGGGGAAGAACCAGTCTCTATATAATATCATAAAAAAAATGAGAAAATAAAATTGTTTCAGTATAGTTCATGCAAAGAGTTGGCTTTTATTTAGAGAGACAAGAAGAACCAAGAGGGACACTATTCAGCATAATAATCATTTAATTTGATATTAATGTTTTATTCAATGCGCTTTTGATATTTTCACTTACCGGTAAATCTGAAAATAACATTAAATGTTACAGATAACATTGCTAATACTGTAACCTTGAATGTTTCTCGTTTCGGCAGCAATGGCTGATGCTTATTTTGTTCAAAATAAAATAAAAAAAATTTTTTCAAATTAAACAAAAAATAAATAATTACTCAGAGATTTTAGACAATAATTTTACTCAGGCTTATCCCAGTGTAAATATCCTTTGCCTAAAAATATGTATCAATACTCAGCCAGCTGAATCCTTGTTTTCTATCTGACTATTTGTTGGAAGTGCAGTAATTTGTACTTTTTATAAATAGGGCTTGATAAAGAGCTTATTTTGTGGAACAGATCGGCCTCTGGGTAGGTCAACTTTTAACTACCATGTTCTTAGTAAAAGCATAAAAAGTGATCGGTACGCAGTTGGTATGTAGAGATCAACAGAATTATGATGAAGCTAAAAACAGGAAAGAAGAAACTTTATACCAGTTATCCACAGGACAGACGTGCTGGTTGTACAGGGCCATGGCGTATCTGAAACACAAAAAACAGGATGAAGATGATTCAAATCAAATCAGATACACAGTTCTCTGAAAAACTGTCATTTCTAAGGGACTCTGTAAGCAAAAACAAGGAGTAAGTATGTTTACTGATATAATTCCTGACCCTGAATAAGTGACAGAAAACTGCCGAATTATGATAGTATAAAATTGCATTATCAGAGAGCATCAATTAAAAAAAATAATGATGATTTTAATTTTTTGGACCCTAAAACAGCTTTAAAAAAACTGTCAATTTCTAATGAACATAAACTAACCTTAAGCCCCTTTTTTATCTCTAATATCTGTTCATAAATATGACATTTTTTCCCCCTCAATGCTGTTTTCTTTACACATCACAACAAAAGGTAAGCATTGCTTAAATGCAGTTCTGCCATTCTGACGCAACATCGACTTTCATCAGTTCAGCCTATGGTAGCAGGTGACCCGACATTCAATGATCCTTCATCAAAGTCCGGAACTGAAGAGTTCAAGGAGTGAAAATCCTGGCCTGTTTCAGAGAAACTGAAATGGTGAATAGTATCTGGTGTTTGCTTTGATGGGTCACTGACCAGCTTCATCCACAGATGATTCAGTGACCAGAGGTTCAAAAATTAAGGGCTATATTTCAGGCTAAATTTGGGAGATTACAGAAATTAAGTCACAGTCCACATGGCGCCAACTGTGGCTCTTTTTTTTTTTAATGACTAAATAAATCTAAAAAAAAAAAAAAAAAAAAGTACATAATAATAGTTATTCATTTCAAATTCATTTTGATTTTCAGTTAAACCAAATCTCAATATGTGCCAACTCTTTTTACGAGCTGATTTTTTTAAGCTGGATTTGCTTAGCCTTCTGCCATTGAAATGGTTAGAACAACACAATGATAACAAATCATACGTGTCTCAATTTCAACTTAAAAAAATAAACAATTTTTAATACATAAAAAAATATTAACAAGGGATAGCAAATGGAGGGAGCAGCAATGCCTGTGCTTCACCTTAACTCAACTAATGAATAAATGCACTAATGAATCAGCAAACATATGCACTTATTGGCTAATGCCGATACATGAAAAAAACACTGATATTGGCAAAAAATATTGGCCTGTCAATGTATTGGTCTATCTCTATTTAAAAGCAAAAAAAATGTCAAAGTATCAGTATCGATAAATCCATCTTAGAGTGATAGGAGTTCTGAAGGCAAAAGGGGGTCAAAGTTAACTTCGAGCAAGCCGTGCCCAATAAAGTAGCGACTGATACTGTGTTTAAAATGTCTATTGAGGATTATTTAGCAAATATAAACTGAAGGGGGGAACCTACAAAACAGAAAAAGTATTACCGTAGTTGGTAGGTTCTGGTCAGAATACCAGTTCTGGATCTGGATGGATGGATGGATGGATGGATGGATGGATGGATGGATGGATGGATGGATGGATGGATGGATGGATGGATGGATGGATGGATGGANGGATGGATGGATGGATGGATGGATGGATGGATGGATGGATGGATGGATGGATGGATGGATGGATGGATGGATGGATGGATGGATGTTAAGATCAGTCATAACAAAAATCCATTTTTACTTTAAATAAATGGAATAATCAAAATATTTCTGATAAGTTTCATTATTAATAACATTTGCACTGATCCACATGATGTTCAGGTTTGAACAGAACAGCACTTAAAGCTTAGGATTCATGCAAGACCCTGGAATATTTCGCCAGCACAAACACACAGATGTGCTGCATCCTCTGCCTGGGCACGTTCAGTCCTTATGCAACAGCAAATTAGGAAAGATCGGCATATGTCAGTATAATTGAAAATCAGGTGATTTACTTGAAACCCGGAGCAGAGAAAAAGAGTGCAGACTGCAGCGTGTTGATCCTGGGAGGTATAACTACACCCAAACCACACTTCCATTTAACCAGCATATGCATCATGCATGTACACGTGAAGGCTTTTTTTAATTCTTCCAAACTTGTGCCCAGAAAAGGGGAAAAAACTCACACAGAGGGAGGAAATGCAATAGTCAGTTTGTCATGTTGAACACTTCTCATTCACTCACACCAATATACAAGTTTAGAGATGGTTGGCTATTCTTAGATGGAGACAATTTGTCCTCATTTGGGAACATAATGTAGTTCAGTAAGAGTTTAAGTACCAATTAGGAATGTTTTCAGTGGTGGGTGATGTCATACTGATAAAACATTTTTATAAAGGACAGAGACTGTATGTTGCAAAAATGCACTCACCATAGCCCCGAGCAAGCCAGGAAAAAAACGTTCCCTGGCTATTGTACTTCTGCAATCTTAAACCAAACTAAATAGAGTGATCCAATCAGCGGACCTTATTCTATATATTTGGAGTTTCCCTTTTATGACACATGGACCCCACGCATGAGACTTTTCTTTCTGTTTTTTTCTATTTTTGTCTCTTCCTTTTCAGACTGCAGGCTCTCATTCACCAGTCTTTTAGCTTAGGTGGACAATAACATCTTGGTGTGTTTGCAGTGTTGCCAGACTCCTTCGATTTTGATTCTAGAGCGCTGCGGTACATGTTCAAAGCGGGGAATATTGTTTTATAATCTAAACCAGCTGTAAACTTCTCCATAACCTGATCTGTCTGCAGTGCTCCTTTATTTTCATGATGCCAGGGTTGTTTTTTTTTCTTGGTTTGTTTTTTCACTAATGTTCTCTAAGAAACATCTAAAAGTTACAAGATTTACACTGAGATGAAAGCAAACAGAGATGGGTTCTATTTACCAATTTACAATACATTTACGCACAAATATGAATTTACATTTGTTAACATTATGGAAAACTTTGATGTTCAGCGACATTTTAAAAAATGTGTGCAAATAATTGGACCTGTCACTGTGAATTTGGGAAAGAATGTCAGGTACAGCGGAAATAAACTTGTAAATATAATGAAAAGAAGCAATAAATATTATTCAATTCATAAAAGCCAGACTGAGGCTCTAAGAGACATCTAACTAGAGTCCGTTATGAGAGTTTGTTCGAATAAACCAGAGCCTTATTTGTGTCGAGGGGGCTCAGTAATAGTAGGTTTGTTTATATAATTAGCCCTCGATCAAAACAGTAGCAGTCATATGCTGTACTTGCATTGCTGTGAGCAACATAAAAGGGTTTCCTTTTCTTCTTATTTGGGGCTAAACCAGGAACATGAGCAAAAACTTCTGTGGAAAATCTGGTTTGTCCAGAGAGAATTCCCAAAAGCTGTGCAAAAATAACCCCAGGAAAAGGGTGTGAGGAACATCCTACGGGTGAATTTACAGCAGCTACATCAGATTTAAGGTGTCTCTTTTCCCATAAGCAATTAAAGATTAACACATCTGTAAATTCAGCCTCTGGGTGTAGTGAAGTCATGCTGACATTTTAAGCTTACCCATAAAAAGCCAACAGGGGAAGCTAAGCCAACTGTCTTGAGTGGGAAAAAGCAGACAGAAGTTTCATATAATCTGCATGCTAGGGAAAGCTCTGCACACACTCTCTATAAATGGTTTTCTAGAATTTTACCTCACATGTACAAAGAAACGGGCAGTTATGCAACATTTTACATCTTTCAGCATTCCACTGCTCTGGAAAAAGCCTGGAGACTTCTCTTGGAAACAAGACACAGACGCTGAGTTAATGGAAAAGTTTCAACAAACAACCTACAGAAGTGTTGGCATCTAAATTTACCAAAAATCTGTTTTTACTTGGAAAAAAGGAGAAGCAAAACCTACAGATTATCATTTAAGTGTCTGTTTTTTAACCTCTCTTTAACAGCTTTACTTTTAGAGTAAAGTTGGAGTGTTGTTTATAGACATAAACAGCCGTGCATAGCGCTGGCATCAGGCTGCTCATCACTGATGCAACACACAGCTTGGAAACAAGACAACAATCCAGAGTTGCACCATCTGACTGCTTCTCTCCTTGGAGGTTTCCATTCCAGCTCACAATGAAATGACAGACCTGAGAGAAGAGATGCCAGCCTGAGTATAATCAGGAGGCATGCTCATTCTTCATGCCACTTGGTTTGCACTTCAGTACTGAAGATCAACACTCTGTGCTGCAAAGCTTCATGGTGGACTTTTAAAAGAGAGGCTCATTTCATTTCTTAATCCATGTGCCAATTGCCATGGCTCTGAGGAATTCAGGGTAAATATGCAGAGTGGCTCAGCTATACAGACAAGAGAAACCAAGGCATAAACATGTTTTGTATCCACTATACATGTATCTTAATGAGTTTGTTTTAAATATATATATCTTAGATAAGTACCAGCTGGTGATAAAAAGCATCTATTTTCCATATGTTGCTGCACACTGGCAGAAAGCTGGCTGAAAAAGAACCACTGCACTTTTCCCTAATGTTAAAAACAGGAGCTCCATCTCAGCCTGACTAATCAATCTGCCAATATCAGCTGGTTTCACTTGTATTATCCTATAAAGAAATGCTAAACAGTATTTGATGCTTAATATCCTTAATATTAACAAGGGTTAGAGCAGAAGTCTTAAAATTACTACTTTTTCCATTTCTGATGTGATACAGATATTGTGGCTTTGAGTACTGATATATATTTAGACTTGATACGATATAACCAAAGATTATTTTTTCTTTTATTACTTACTTTGTAGTGTGATATGAAGGAAAAGGCTTTGATCAAATGATATTACTCTGACAGAGAACAATTGTCAACAATTCGCATCAGGACAACTTATCCATTTATTCTTAGCCAATGGGTTACATAAACCATTAACAGAAGCACAGCATTTTCTATCAGCTATCATCATATCTGAGATTTTATATGCAGGTTATTATAATCCGATTTCCTTTTTCTTTTCTTTTTTTTGTATCTGACAGATTTCTAATATCAGTACCCTATTAGGACATCCGTACTGTAAACTGAAGTGCTGGAGCTCTGAAGTCACCTACTTAAAAATAAAATTATCCAAACATGATTAAAATTTAATAATCTAAAAAAAACGTGATGGGAAATTGTACTTTTTGTTAAACAAAGGAAAAAAAATCTACTCTTAAATGAAAAAATCAAAATAGGTTTCCTGAAGGACACATTTAAAAATGTTTTTTTCATATTTTCTTGAAGGACTATGTAAGTTTTGTCATATCAATTAAATTGTATATTTTTATATTTACCCTTGGGGAGGGTTTTAATTGTGTCTCTGGAACAGCGTGATGATAAAGGAAATATTGTTGTAGATCTTAAAAAAAGGAGATGTTTCAAAGAAGAGCTTGGAAAAAGAGGGGGTAAAGCTTCACTAGTAAATTATGCAATTATGTGTTCCTGTAATCCAGTATTCAATCAATGTTTTTAGTAGCTGATGTACTGATTACAAATAAAATCTCATTAATGGAAATCCGCTGACTTATTTTGCTTATTAAAAATGCATTGTTATAAGGGTTTATTAATAAAGCTTTGATTGTAAAAGGAGTGTAAACTTACACAACCCATATCCCAGTGATGCTCAGAACTGGGAGACTAACAGGCAGTATCATCCACAGAGACATTTTGGACCACCTCGACAATCCCCTTTCCTCTCCTTCCAGCCCAAGAATATCCTCTCAGGTAGCAGACACACATTTAACTCCAGGTCACTGGGCTCTGCATGGTCACACACTGGCTCATTTTCTCTGAAGATGCTTGGCAGATGGGACAGATGCTTCCTTTTTTAGCTGGGGAAGGAGAGAATTAGGGCAGTTAGTTCAGAGTTATTCTGCTACTTATCACGCACTAATCAGCAATACTGATCAAAGTAATCTTCTCAGTTGGCTGATGCGTGATGCAACCGTGCAAAAATCGTTCAACTTCTTAAACAATGATATTGGCTATTTGTTCCTCAGCTTTTTTTGTGTGTGTGCATATCTTAGATAAATAGTTTCAAGCATTCTTCTTCAATCAAATGCAATAAGGTATGAAGCTGTGATCGCTCACCTTCAGCCTCTGCAGAACAGAGAATTTTGTAGATATTGTTGAAACTTTAGGACTGCCGACGTGTCCTCCTTGCTCCCCAAAAAAGTCCCAAAAGATGCCGCCCTGTTTTCCTTTTATGTTTTAGTTCTTTTTCCTGTGGAGCGGCTGTGTTTTTTTATCCGTTTGGCTTTGAAGTGCCTGGCGTGCCGCGCTCGCGCTCACTCACTCCACCGCTGCAGCCACGAGACTAGAGACCCCGAAAGAAAATCCAGCTGTTTGGCTCCACCCACCCAAAAAATATTGCGTACGAGTGGGCGGAGCCTGACGCACAGACAGTTGACTGCTCCATTAAGAAAGACTACTATTGACCAATCCTTTTACTGATAACCGTGTAACAAATACATCTGCTGTTTAGTGAACATCCAACAAATCAAAATTGTTCAGGCAAAGTATTTGTTTAAATTAGAAAAGCTATATGGCCAATAAAGGTTTATATGCGAGACAAAGAGGGAGAAAAAGTTAAATCCATTTTATTAAGACATTTTTCTAATTATTGTTGGTTGATACTGCCCCCTGGTGTATACCATGGGAAGTTTTCGGGAGGAAAAATAGTATTGGGGACAGTTGCAACACTGTTCAATTTAATTCACTGTATTTATATAGCGCAAATTCACAACACGTCATCTCATGGCACTTTACAGTTTACTAGATCATACAGTCATATTGATTAAAATATTTCTATCTAAGGAAAACCAGTCGATTGCATCGACTTATTGACTCAAATGCAATCCCTCACTCTAAGCATGCTTGTAGCGACAGTGGAGAGGAAAAACTCCCTTTTAACAGGAAGAAACCTCCAGCAGAACTAGATTCAGTGTGAGCGGGCATCTGCCAAGACCGACTGGGGTTCAAAGAGACAGAAGCAGAGATACAAAAAGCAACTGTAAAAGGAAGCCCACATTGTTAATTTCACCAAAAAACACTTAGCTAGATCTGGGGTCTGCAAACTGCGGCTCGGGGCCCCCAAGTGGTTCTTTTGGACCCTCCAAAATGATTCTTAATAGCGGCTGGAAATGATAAAGTAAACCTACTAAGTATTAAAAAACCTACTAATATTTTTTAATGTTTTTTACTAATTTTTTTTTTATGACAGAATAGGTTATAATGTTTTTCTTGTCAAAATTTAGAAAATATAATTTTTTATTTTTAAAATTTACATTGAATAATATGCTATAGGAAAAAAAAATCATGCTTCCTGTTTATTAAATGATTTATGTTTTCATTTATTTTAAAACCTAAAAACACAAATAAACTGTTGGTTGTTTAAATAAAAATGCAACAACTTTCCTATAGAGGATATTTAACACAGAAAATAGTTTGTGTTCTTTTAAACATAATATGTGTGGCTCTAAATGACTTTTTTTTTTTAGGTGCACTCAAAGCTAAGTGGCTCTTTCTTTAAAGGTTGCAGAACCGTGAGCTAAACTGATGAGAATCCTACACATATTCAGTTAGCGCCTCATTATTTAAGAAATTTTTTTTTTTTATTAAACAAACATTTTTAATTATATACTAGGAATCCTGTGGATCTGAGTTTGAGCCCACTCCCACAGACTGCCACACTCTGAGCAAAGACCCTTGAACCCAAATCTCTCCCAGGGCACCGCACAATGGCAGCTTGTGCATGGAGTTAAATGTAAATGCAAAGAGTTCATTTTGTTGCTTTGTACTGTGAAAGTGCAATGACAATAAAAAGCTGGAAGTAAAAAAAGGAAAAAAATGTCCGTATGGAGAACATTTATCTAGCTTGGATCAACCGTTTTTAATTGCAAGAAAAAACTTTGAAACAAAATAAAAAACTTTATTGGCTTACAACTACTTACATTTGAGGTAAATGGAGGAAAATTATGCTCAAAAGAAAATGCCTGCAGCATACTAGTCATGTTACCATCAAGTTTCTAACATGAATTGTGTGACTTAGGTATTTACCTAAGGTGTGGGAATAATCTGTGCTGAAATAACAAATCAAAGACACAAACATTCACTTTGGCTTTTAAAGAGATTTTTTTTTTAATGCAAAATGTGTGGATCAACCCCAGAAAAAAATTAAGGAAACAATAAAAATTCTGAGTGAAGCTTGTAAAGGAAGTGGTCATCAAAAGAAAAAGGCCACTTAGTGAGGGATAAGTCATTACTTCAAAAGTGACAGTAAGTTAGAAACATATATCAAAAATAAAAATAGCAGATTTTAGTTTGTAAAAGGGTCTCTGGGGACAATTATTATTGTTTTTGTTTTGTTTTTTAAGAAAGGACTTTAGGCATAAATATTAAATCAACAACTCAAATCAAAAACCAGAAAATTAAAGCAGAATAGTCTTCCTGGTAGAAAATATTCCCAAACATTAACCCAGATTTCTTGCAAGTGACTTTGAATAATCAAGGGACTGTTTTGATGTGTCCAGCACTAAATGATACCCATTCCTTTAAAGAATTTGTGGCACAGCTGGAAAAGTGTGTAAGCAATATGTCCTACGACCTCACTGGGCCAGAGCAGTTCTGTCTGGAGGAATGGGAAAAATCCCATCAAACTATTGTGAGAAGCTTGTGAAAATATCTGACCTGAGTCACACACTGCAAAAGGCAATTCATCTGATTACTATGGAAATATTTTTATACTTATGGGTTAGAATAGGAAAAAATCTAAAATATATTGTCAACAATGGGTGGTGAGGTTGCTCGAGGAC